TTAAGAGGGTCACATTAGTGGCTTGGATCGTATCCCATTTCCTCGACCTAGAGAGTAAGAGGGTAGTTTTGGCTTCTTGTTGGACAACCATTCCTTAGTCAATAAGTTGAGAGGGTCGCATTAGTGTCTTGGATCATATCCCATTTCCTAGACCTGGAGACTAAGAGGGTAGCTTTGGATACTTGTTAGACTTTCCTGCAGTTTATAACCCCCTAACCACACACGGTCATTCGATCCTTCAAGTAGTAATTGTTAGCTAGGGGGAGCAACACCCGGGTGAAGCCTTCTCAATTAGTGTCAAAACCATTTCATCTTTGCAAAGTAATTTAGCTTTAGACTTTTGTTTTCACTAAAACTAATTCGCTAGATAATGTTTCAAACAATCGAAGTAGCGATACATGGGTTAGGCCGGGTCGATATTTAAACATACTTGCCCTATATTGCACCCATCTAAGGTTTGTACTTGGGCCTTAGGTGGATTTTATTGTGATAGTCAGAGCAAGTCATGTACCAAATCATTACTAAGTGGGTGTGACAGTTTAAGATCAAAACTCACTCAACCCATTCATTGCCACCCCTAATTGAGAGGTTAAACCAAACATCAATTTTCTACATAACAAATAGTTCATGAAGTCATAGTAGATTTTCCGTCCGGGTTGATAATTAAAGTTTACTTTCGTTGTACCACACCATGTTAATGGTTATACTTTGCCTTCGGTTGGGTTATTAGTTAGGCACAAATCCTACGGCTCAGACTTCTCTCGGCGCATCGCTCGCTTTGCTCTCTGCGTGCCTTTCTAGCCTAGCACTTCTTATCTTCTTGGTGGAAAATTTTGGGCCCAAATTATGAGGGTTTATTGTGGATTTTTTTGGGACTTTTAGAACTCCCATTTGAAGAGGTTTTGCCACTTTTTTACATTTTAGTACCACAATTGTGATTGTCTTAAAGTAGGAACCTAACCTCCAAAATTCAATCAAGCAGAGGATAAAAGCATACAAAACATCAATTGTTCATAGATAGAGGAAAAGCACCTAAATTCACAAAAACACTTCTCGTCATCATCCACTTGAAACTCCTCGTTCCCGATTGGCTCACTTCTCAATTTGCCGATCCTCGCGACGGACAGAGTGTCACACTCCTCCCGCTTGCTTCACCGTCGAGAATAAGACTTTCCTAGTTGTTCCCCTTGCCATCATGGAAGAGATCCCATTAACAACGTCTTTTTTCCTGAACTTGGGCCCTCTCGTCGTCGATCCCACATTATCCTATGCACGAATAGTCGGAAAAGAGAAGTTTGCAAAAGCCAACTTTGTCATCACAGACTCGATGCTTTTCTAATTTTTGTCGATTACTTCCCATCTACTGGGCCTGTAGTCGTATTGATGACAACATCCATATTCAACCTTCCTCCAACATCATCGCTGCCGCCACCACCCTCATGATGTGTCTGTTCACCCTCTATAACATTCTTTCTGAATCTCAAATTCTTAACGTTACCACGTGTTACCCTCTTCTCCTTACCTTCAACAACATGGATGATCTCGTTTGGTGCCACTACGAACGAAGACACGTCCATTAAAGAAGCTTCCATGTAGATTGTCGCTGTGGTAGGAAATGGTGTCGTGGGTGTCTTTAGAGCTATGGATAGCTCCTTGGATGGATCCACCTCAAACCGCTAAGATATCATTGAATGGAGCAACGCCTTCAAAGTTGATGTTCGCAACTCGGACGTCAACTCTTTATGGAAATCGACATCTTAAATATGGTGTCGGAGAACTGAGCTCCGATATCAATTGTTACTTAGATGCATCTCATGGGTTGAATTATACATATAGATCTTTGATTTCCGGACTTTGGAATAACTTCCTCGACACTCTCGAGTACGCGAATCTCCTTAATGGAGAGGACAACCCAAAATATCTACGAAACAACTAATTAAATAACAAAGACAATAAACATAAAATGAGTTCCAATCTTCTCATATTATAACCATAAACAAACAAAAAAATTATTTACACAACCAAATCTTTTTTCTTCTCACTCCATGCTTTTACCCTCTCCTTTTCCATCTTGAATTTCTTTTCTTCTTTTACAAAACACATTAATTCAATATTAACATAATTACGAATAACCCTATTCCAACTAAACAAATAAAATAACCCCAATAATCACAAAATATAACTAAATACAAATACATAATCTAAAGAATATAATAAACACTTTCTCCATTTACGCTTTACCATTTCAAAATTCAAGCCTTCTTAAGCATCTATGCCAGCAGCCATCCCACCAATCAGATCTTTTCATAGATTCTTTTTTCTTTTCATGTTAATTTATTATTTTTTCTTTCTAGATCTAACGGTCTAAATTAAAAAAACAGTTTATTTTTTATTTAATTTTGTCTTTTAAATTTTTCAGTAATCCAATTAGAATGTGCCACCTAACACATCTCTCTTCTTTTCCAATTCCCTACTATTCTTAATTGAACCTTATTTATTTTGTTTGAACTCCGAATTTGTATATTTTTGTGCCAAAAAATCAGATTTTATGTGATCTATACAACGTTATCCATTTTGATATATGTTGAATTTTTTTCCTTCAAAACCATGGTCACAATCATATATTCATGATTTATGCTCCTATTGGACAATTAGTAAACTATATCAATATAATTTGATTCTACCTCTATGAAGTATTCATGTACTACCAAAGTTCACCGGACAAGTTTCTTATTCTACTAAGCTATTAAATTATATCAATGTTTAGTTTTTTACTCTCATAATTAATAGTAACTAGTATCAATACCCGTGGCTACGCCACGGGGACTAAAGTTGCATCAACATGATAGTATGGTGGGCAGTCCCGATGACAATAAATAAGAAAAAGGATATGTTAATTTTGGCAAATAATTGATTTAGTTTGGTTGATAATGGTAAGTTGCAGGATAACTAACTGCCACCGAGAAAGGATACGTTTAAAAATCGATGCTCACCACATCAATATAGAACCTATTTGTGGTTCTGAAGGGAACTTGATGAGTCGTTTATGTTAATTCAAACTTAAATAAAAAAACGCAGTGCTGCAATTTGATTATATATTAAACTGGACATGTAAACGCAGGCTTGTAATATGTATTTACCAAATATTAGAAATATGGTTATGAAGCTTTGGGTTTAATACAAATATAAGAAATTGTCCTGCACATTTGCCAAATCCAAGGTTTCAATATTATATATAAGAAATAAAATTGTAATCAGATAGATCCAGCCAACATTGTTATCAGTTTAAACTTTAATTTCAGGAACTTCCTGATTATCATGTTCTGCGATTTCATAATACAAATCTAGTCAACATTGCAGTTCATTACATCTGGAACTCTAGGAAAGAAATAGTGCTATTTCCATAGAATTACATAATGCAAAGAAATAGAGAATTAAATAATTAAACACATGATGTAGAATGCTTCCAGACAAAAATACTAAGGCTCATCTTCTACATAACATAAAGTTAGCAACATTTCTTCTTTTGACTAAAACTTGGAGAGGACCTTCAGCAGAGTAACCTAGAAATCTATCCAGTCCAACCCAAAACTCCTCAGCTTCACACTTGCAAACAACAGGGAAAACGCTACCATTGAGCATAAATCGAAACCTCTAAGCAGCTAAGTAAGAGGATTGATGAAACAGCATCCGCACTTTGCAACAAACTAAAGCAAACAAACGGAAGCCAACCTTTATAAACCCTACCAAACCCTCCCTCTCCCAGCTCTGTACCATACCTGTAACTAATTTTAATTATATTTGAAAACTTTTGAGCAAAACTTTTGAACTAAGGAAAAATATTAGAAATAGAATTTTCAGAGTTCTGGATGAAAAGTGATCGGACATAAATCTTAGTATGAAGAAGAATTTTTCACCCCAAGCCCTTACAATATGAAGAACCTCACACAATGTGCAAAGAATTATGATAATTTTATTCTCTCTAACTGGCATTTTGATAAATAACAGAGAAAGAAAACCAGAAATTGGTGGACTCCATCTTCAACTTCTTCAATCCCTGCTACCAGCACCAGCCTTCCTCCCGTTCCTCTCCCACCACCCAAGTCGCCGTCGATTCCACACTACAAAATCTATAGACTACACAGTGGGGTAGAATCAAAAGGAGGTTGAGCTACCTACCAATCAAGAAAATTTTTTGTACGTCACTAACTCATTGACTAGAAAGAATTTCAGTTATGCTAATTGTTATGGACACATCTAGGACTTACCAAGAACAAAGCTTCAAAATCATGAAGGATTGTTCAAGTGCAATTTGCTGCCACTGTCTGTTAAAGTGATGATCAAATAAAATTGATAAGTGGACAAACATTGGTAAGGTTAGACCTAAACAAAATAATAATTTAAACATTCTTACAGGATCAATTTAATTAAAAGTAAGGAACATAAAATGCAGAATGAGGGGTGTAAGTTACGGAGAGAGATTAGAGAGTAGAAGAGTCATACTTAAAACTGAAACGTGCGTACCAAGTTGACCATCCAGGGGCATAAAAAGAATTGACATATGGGCATAACAATTAAGCTTCCCATTATCTTGTTCAAGCATCTTATTTAGAAGGTTTAGTTGGCCCGACACTCGTTTTCCTATGCAACTCCACTCCCAATGCCCAATGAAGGTATGGGTTGTTCAAGTTCAACCCCTTTCTGAAGAGAGAAATTCTTGAGTGCTCCGGGTGTACCACGTCACCCGTGCACCGTCCCAATAAAAATGTGCCACGCGTTACTAAATAAAAAACAGTTGTGCTTCTGCGGTGTGGAATCGACGCGCCGTCAAAGTGCCTGGAGCTGACGACAAAACCCCGTCGAAGATGAAATCAGCTTCTTCGTAGGATGCAGATGGGAAATCCCAATCTAGAAAAAACCCAAAACCAAAAAAAAAACCTTGCATGGAGCTCCTGTCTCCACTATCAACAGCTTCGATTGCTGAAACCTTCCCTCCGGTCGCCGACTACCTTATCGCCGGCGGCAGTTGAAGTCGCCGACTACCTTATCGCCGGCGGCAGTTGAAGCCGCCGACGCTCCTTTCTCCGGTGAGCCCTCACCATCCTCATCCAAAATCAGCCTAAACAAGAATAAAACCCAGATTAACAGCCAAAAAATGCAGATTGGATAAAAAAAACATTCTTTTACCAACATGTGCAAGGCGAAATCGATAAATCACCGATCGAGATCCGTCCTAGCTGAGTTGGAGCCATGAAAATTGGTCCTGGATTTACCTGGGGCTCGGTCCAGATGAATGAAGAGGCGGGCAGGAGAGGAGATCCATTCATTCCTTCCTCTGATTGGATGGGTTTGCTTTTTGCTCGTTGGAGGAAAGAAGAACAAGAGATGGAGAATTTTTGGGGGTTTTCTTTAAGAAGAGAGAGGGAGTAGGAACACGTGGCACATTTTTATTGGGACGGTGCACGGGTGACGTGGTACACCCGGAGCACTCAAGAATTTCTCTTCTGAAGAAACACAGGTAACATTTCGTCGGGCCCAAAAAATATGATAACAGTTGCATCTGATTATATACCATCTGCCGTTGCTACTATATTTAAGGATGGGAAAATGTACTTGTAAAAGCAAGCATAAATTGGCTTTCAACACAAAGAGACATGGTGCAGTACATGCGGAAAGCAAGCAGAAGTTGTTAACTTGAGTCTTGAAGAAACATAGTTAAACGATAAGGGGGCAAAATATAAAAAAGAAACCTATGAATCAAGAAACCAAATCACCATGAAACACCATACGACAATCAACCGGATGGATGTATTCCTATTGAACTAATAAAAACACAAAGGAAAAGGCTGACCAAACAAAGCCACCCACAACGAAGAAAGTAAATAAGAGAGTATCAAGAAACCAGGATAAATCTTTTATATCGTGCATACTCACTAAAACGTGAAGTTCCAAAGAGTGAGGTTTTACACTTGGCAAACAATGGAACGTTACTGGTCATTGTCTTAAGATCGTGAAGAAAAAAAAATAGCAGCAAGTAAAAGAAGTGAGGAAGTGGAAGAAAAAATAGCTATGACAACACAAAATTTCAAAGTTTGCAGATTACCAAGTCTTTATCTGTAAGTTCCAGCTACAAAAAGGAAACCCCCACAATAAGAATGGACAAAATTATATTGTACCGTGCATAAGAACAATAATTGTCCTCCCATGTAAAATGCGCATGAAGCAACTGATAAGCAGTGGCAGTAAGACAATCTTTCAGAAGTTTTGGGGGCCCTCAACCTGCAATTGTAAGAGGATTTTAGAATATGAAGTCTTCAATCATTAATAAAAGTGTACAAAGGACATGAAAACACATATAATAAAGGCTCAAACAACGAATGAGTTTTTGTTCCAACTGAAAGGTGCAGATGCTAAGGAAATTGACAGAATCATTTAGCAGAACCATCCATAGCTTCACCATTGATCCTTTTGATTTTTTGGAATATGGTAAAGGCAAATAAGGAAAATAACTTTCTGAAATATCAGAGCAAAACTTAACCTAATAGTTAGCAGAGAAAGATAACAAAAAATGGGGACTCCATCTTTAACTTCTTCAATCCCAACCACCCATTCGGCCATTCCACCTCATTCATCGTCCTCCTACTAACACCACCGGCCTTCCTCCCCTACTACCCCAGTCGCCGCCGATTCTGCAACACCGAAAAGCCCTTGTCTTCCTCCTCATCTTCAACCGACGGGGTTGTTTAGATACACCTTGACCTCATCTTAAGTGTGATTTCAAGCACCGCCATTATTTTTCTGCATAAAACGCACATGAAAACAACATATTTAGATTCAGCTACCGCAAAGCAACAACCAAATAGGTATCTTCCACTTACGGGTTGGAAGCTACAGAGCATGGCTCAATTGGGCTCATCTCCATCGGCCATCATTGGGTTTCCTCATCAGAGAGAGAAGAGAAGACAAACAAAACTTGCAAAGAAATTGGGTATCAGAGGAAAAGAAATCGAAATATAAGGTGGAATGGGTGGTTGGGTGGGTGTTGGGAAGGAAGAATGGCGGGGAGTGGTGGCTTCCTCTGTGGATGTTGGAGCGTTCAAGTGGATTGCGTGCTGAAGTGGTTTGCGAGATTTGGGGAATGGGGGTGGGGGTACAGACCCAGAGCCAGAGAAGGGACGTCACTGGAGAGACATGGAGCGAGTGTAACAGAGGGCAAAAGAGGGCTCTTTTTCCTTCCGCTAGAAACAATCAGATCATAAACTTAGAAAAAGCAAGTGGAATGATGAAAGGACGGATACGACCGAAGACAGACATGGCCGACTGCTGATTTTAGGGTAAGGACGCGAGGGAAGGTATGGCCGGCATTCTGCGAAGACATTTTTGGGAATCTGTTATGCAAAGCTCTCTCATTGGTTGCCACAAAAAGACAGGAATTGAAACAGTAGTAGAACGTTTGGGTAATAAAGTGTACCCGCTTTCATGTTTTATAGAATATAGAACAACTTTATGTGTTGAAACGTTGTCGTTAAGTACAAACTAATTTATCTTAAAGAAAAATCACTTTTCGGCCAACTGACCGCACTCAAAGCTAGTTTAAAATACACAAATCAATTTTTGGTATTGCCACGTGGGCTCTATCTCATATCATTGGAGTTGGAAATTGGAAATTGGAATGAAAGACACTGATTGCTTTCACCTCCAATGACACTTGTTGCTTTCATTTTTGGTGGTTAAGTTTCACCATTAATGTGACTCTGTTTGATTTGTAGTAGTTGAGGCTGAATTAAGTTTGAGATTTTACGTGATGGGTTTTCTTCACGTTGATCTTGTTGGGCACGGCACGGGCGCTGGGCATGGCAAGGATGGTACTGATACAGATGCAGTTTCTGACTTTTTCAGGACAATTGCGTATTTGAGGGTTTTGTTAAAAAAGTCTTGCTGATTAAAGAAAATTATTCCCAAAGACACAACCCCCTACTGTGCACATAGACTGAAAAACACTATTCATTTTGACCGAAAATTATTGTACATTCCCCCCTGATTGGCTGCTTGCCTGTGCGTGGGCCCGGTTGCTTTTTTCAGAGTGTTGGGATTGGCCGGCGGTTTTTGCCCGGTTTTCTTGAGCTTGGACCGGATCTTTTGCGCGCTGCTTTGCGAAGCTGAGCGCATTGCCCACGGAGCAGGTTAGATATCCTCCTCTCTCTCTTGTCTTTTCTCGCAGACTTCTTCTCTCTCAAGGGTTCTTCTGATAGTACGGGAGGAATTATGGGTTGCTTGAGGTGTCAGAGGGATTTGATAGGAAGTACTGCACTACTTGGCCTGCTTGGACCTGGGAGAAAGCGACGCATTGGTCACAGGAAAAATAAATGGCCACGATTGAGTTGGGAAGCGATCTTGAGGTTGGGAAGAGTGATGAGTTGCTTGACAGCTTGAGTGAATTCTGAGAGAAAATAAGGGTCAAATCAGGAGTGCATTGGGTGGAGACGAAAATATAACCCATCAGTGCATTTAGTTTCCCAGTATTTTCCTCTCTCCACTCTCTTCTCTCTACTTTGTTTCTCACAGCCCCTCAGTAGCTTGGAGCGATCGACTGGAGAAGAAGAAGTCGAGAGAGGAATCGGAGGAGGCACAAATCTGCATTGTATGTTTTCGCTATTTTGATGATTTGATTTCTTCTCTTCACTCGGATAAATGCGATCTCTCTTTCTTTTATTGTTCGATTTTTTTATCACCTTTTAGAGGAGGTTATCTGCTTGAGTTCACGGGCAGGTAGGCCATCAATTTGTAACACGAAGCCAGCGGTCTAATGCTCCCTTGTTTGGATTGTAGATCCACGTTGAAGATGATGCATGCCAAGGCGACGAGATTGATCGACGGGAACCTGATTGATAACCCTGATGGTTTAGGGTGAGGGTTTGATGATTTTGCATTGTCTCCCTCTTCTGTGATGTTTAGTTGCATATTCCTTTAACACTGGTATCCGATTTTCTTCCCCTGTTCATCTTCAGTTGCACGATTTCTGACATGTGAAAGCTCTTGGCAGTTCGTATGCTCAGACAGTCGATTTTTTTAGGGAGATTCAACGAGCTCTACAATAGAGGAAATGCATCCTTCAGTTGCGTATCTCCCTAGGTAAGATGTTCTATTGATCCTATGGATATCGTTCGTTTCCGATGCTCACTAACAGAGATTTTTCTTTTTTGGTTAAGTGGTTCCGTGAATCCTTCTCTCGCTCTTCGACAGTTCATTTTACATATGGATCTTCAGAAGCTATCTATCCCACAGCAGGCCACGATGACAACCCTGAGTGATGTGGCTTGGAATACTACCGATCACTTTTTTTCAATATATTGGTGAGGCAGATCTGCCGATTCCAGTGTGATTCCGATATCGCTCTTTTGTTTTTAGGAAATGTAGAAGCTGACTCCCTTTTCCTTTCCCCTTCTGTGGTGACTCATGGGGTGGCGGCAAGCGTGGGATGACAGAGCAGATCATCCAAGCACATGTAGTTTATCCCTCTGTTATCAATTTCTTTCATCCGGATTGGAAGCTCAAAGGAAGATCCCAAACTGTAAAACATGTCGTTGTTTTCTCTGCTAATTATGTCTCTATTTTCGATATGCTTGGCTATCTCTCTTCCAAGCAGGTCTCTTTTTCTTTTTCATTGGGCAGTCGAAGGAATTGAAATTGTTGAGGGATGAGACGCCGTCGCCGCAGAGAGGTAATGCTCGATTCCTCATCACTGGCTATGATCTCCCCTCTTGGTTGCCTTTGCACTCCCTTCACTTCAATTATCATTTGACAGATTACCCCCCTCTGATATATATCGTTGTCTCTTTTTCCAGATCAAAGCCAAATTGGGATGTGATGATTATGAATCACAGAGTCAGATGATCCTTTGATCCAAGCAGTTAAGTTTTGCTGGAGTTTCTTTAGTGTGAGTTACGTTTTCCTGTGGCGTTTGTTGCTTGCACGATTAGGGAGTCTTGGGAAGTCTTATATTGATTCTTAAACTTCTGTTTTCATTTCTGTGTCAGTTGAAGGTATAATTTATTGAAGAATAGTCATGTTGTGTCCTTTAATGGGTATTCAGAATTAGAGGGTTTAGAGAAGGGAGCCTTACACTTAGAGAAAGGAGCCTTGCGTATGTCTGAACACAATATCAGACCATGCTAGAGCAAATGCTGGTTGCGTTTAGGCAATTTTTGTGTTGACAGTTAGGGTGTCTTCTTGATAATCTGTGGGTTGTAAGTGATTTCAAGTCCAGATTGTAATAACTTGGTGATTACTAATTACGTTCTCTGAATAACTTCTCAGTGAGTGATGCTTATGTTATTGTGGGTAAGCAACATGGTTTCCATGTTTGCTTTAAGGCAGCATTGAGATTTTCTAAGCTTATGCATCTTTAGATTGTATATAATACATCTATGTGTAACACCCTACCCTATACGTATTACCTAATCATATTGTTCATACAATTGCAGCGGAAATAATCTCGGGTGTTACATTAATTATCAAAATTTACCCAAATAAAATTTCGACATGAATTACTCGCGTAATGGGCTAACAGTTCTTCCATCTGATCCTGCAAAATAATTCATCTAAATCCATGCATTCATAGACAAACATATACACTCACTTCCATATGCATTGGCTTTTCATAGCCATAGTCACAGTTTCATGTTATACAACTGCATACTATATTGATACATGCCATAATCGTCACAACTTACATAATTACACAAATATACACATATCATCAACTTTCCACACCTGTGGATATCTCACACTACATCTGAAGCTAGTATGCACATGAAAAACGTTCTCAAAACATTTTACAAAAAGGTGTGGATCACTGGCCAAAATCCCGAGTAGTAGTCCAAGCACAGAATAGTTGAAGACCATACCTCATCTTGCCTTCAACTCTTGCTCAGCTCCCACCTATACAACTATCTACTGCTGTTGATGACGATGATCTGCTTACACATGGCATAAGCAGAGAAAAAGGATAAAGAGGGTCAGCTCATAGCTGAGTGAGATAATCATAGCATCGTGAGTTCATAACAGAGCATACCCCTACCATACATCTAACAAACAAGCCAAAGCACTAGGATCAGACCTCAACCATCCGACATCCCAATAGGCAAGAGACTCAACCATCTTGACTTATGCATATGCATCTTATCATGTTTTACTTATAGGCGCCTGACTACTCCCATGCTAATAACTCTCCCGAGAAACATACCCCACATCCCGTCGGATGTAGTCATACATACCCCAACATCCCGTCGGATGTGGTCATACATACCCCACACCACTATGGGTGTAGTCATACCCCGACACCGCTCTGGGTGTGGTCATATCTCGTAAGAATTCTTCAGTCACCACCACATGAGAGGTGTGACTATCATACATATCATAATAGAGTAATAGCATAGGGAGCCCTAATTACTATGTAGTTGACCGTGAAACCACAACACTCATATTTGGTATCCTTATACATGATTCATATCTCATCTTGCTTAATCATAATTCATTACTTGCACATGTACTTGACCTGGCCAAAATTGGCTCAACATAGGTAAATCAGGAGTCGTATAATTGCACTTCCTCGGGATAAACCCTCGTGCAAGTCATCCTCCTTAAACATCATAATATCACCCTTGGGAGTTTATTTCCCCCACTTGTGAATCCAAATACAACCACAATATCACATCATATCAAAACACCTGATCGAACAACCATGAAGTCATATCAACAGTTAAGCCACAAATGGCAACATGTATGCAATCATCAGCATAAACAAGGTCCATATCGATTAGGGCAAGTCAATAATATCATACAGCAGTCCAGGGTTCAACATATAGCACAAAAGTCCATACACCCCTAATCATGTCATTCTAGTTCAACTAGATCCATTCTAAGCATAAGTATAATTATCGTGATACGACAAACCCGGTATGCCGTGCTAATCCCTCACCAGTTCTGATCGTTCAAACACCGGTTTAACCTTCCCGTACTAAAACGTCAATTTCACGAACGAACCCCGAATTAAAATCCGAGACCGCCCTAATATCCCCTGCAGTATCCCCGTCAATATTAGTTCCAGGCTCCGGGTCAAATTCTTGATAAAAACACATCAAACCCTGGCCGGAGCTAAATTCAGCGATCCCGGCTTCGACCTAAATAATAGCCGAAATTCATGGATTAGAACTAGAGGATTGATTACCTCGCTGCAGGAAGCTTGTATATGAAATTTGGGCTCAATCCGGCTTCCGGATACTCCGAAACCCTAATTTGGCTTATCGGGAATTCAAGAAATTCCTGAACCAAAATCTCGTTTTAAAACTCTAAATCGATAAATCACGATGTATAGATGAATTAGGAATTACTTACGGGATTTTTGGATAACTAGAGCTCAAGAATTGAGCTCGGAGAATTTTTCTGTTCCCTCCCCTGCGCGCCCTCTGCTTCTCGGTTTCTCTCGGCCCAAAATAATGTAACAGAAAGAGGATGATGGAATAATGGACGGGGTGGAGGGGAAATGTTATATATATGCGGCCCGGTCGCTTAATATATATATATATGGTGCCTTCTACGGTACCCCGGGTGAAATCCAGGGTACCGCATACCTTAAGTACGAAAACGCTATCTAGACCTCGAATTAACAGTATTTTTGGGCATGATACTATACCCTAACCCTTAATGAGTGAACCCTAGGTCCTAATTATCTAAATTATAAACTATTAACCCTAAGATGGTGCATTGATTTTTTTGCCTATATTTGGATGAATCATAACCATCAATTATTGTTTCTAATTAAATTGATATTGGGGTATAAGATTTAGAGAATTAAGACCTAGATTTTGATCTTTAAGGGTTAGAGTATAGTATCATGTCCGAAAGATCAATCAATTCAAGTTCTGGATAGCGTTTTCTTACTCCTGATATGCGGTACCCCGGATTTCACCCTGGGTACCGTAGAACTCCCCATATATATTTTCGCCGAAATACTGTCAAAATGCTCGATTTTAAATCGCAAACTTTCTAGCGATCGAAATATGGATTTTGCCAGAACGGGATGTTACACTATGTATATCTTCTCTCTATTTGTTTGGCAACACACATATCAAGCATTTAAAAAAGCTTGGTTTCCAGTTTTAAGCTATAATATTAGGAAAATGCATCATCTGTTCGTCCCCATTATTTTTCAGTTATTTATAAAGAGAAAAGATGGTCAACCAATGGATGAGAGGAATTCTGCTAATTTTGGACAAGAGACAGTTCAGTTGAGATTGGAACTTCTTAATTGGAGTTTGAGATGTATTGTTTGAAGTCTTATGCTTATGTTATTGATTGGGCAAACCAAAATTGTAGTGCTTAATTCTATTGTTGCTGGGAGAATAAATTAAAAAGAAGTCGAGGAGTTTGTTTTATAGACTCAATGTTGTGTGTTGGTAACTATGGGTGGACAATGTCGTATCATCTTGTGACCCATTCCTTTGTTTGTAGGTGTGATTGTCTGGTGTATTATCTAATAAGATGGGTTTTCGTATAATGACATTGTTTATCTTTTATCTTCTTACTTATCTTTTTATCTTCTTACTTAAGAAGGCAAATCCACTATCAGTTTTTCAAAAAGGTTCAATGACATCATTACCACTCAGTTTAATTAGATGAGCTGCTTAACCAGGAAGAACGCCATTTTAATAGTTGGAAGACATTCACATGAGGATTATGAAGAAGTATGGCAAAGTAGCTATGTATGCACCTAGCTGTGCAGTGAATAATGAGTGCTCAAGGTGTGCTTAGTGATAGTTGACTTCCAGTGTCTGAATTGTGAATACGGTGACATTGAGAAAGAGGTTGAATGTTACGAGATTTTGCCTCGGTCATTTTCAGTTCTAATATATTTTTTTCGTGGGGTTTCTGTGACAATTTGCCTCCTCGAGTTACACCATCCGGATCAGGATAGTATATATGAGTGGTGGTATTAGCCGGAACGAGTACTGGTGCAAGGTTTTCTCCCGACCATTAAGCATGGTACACTCTTTTGTACCCCAAGTATTGTGAAATGTTATTTAGTTGGATAAGTTCATGACTTTGCATTTCTGCTCGCTTACTTTTGTTATAGTTACCGAGCAATAACTATTAGTCCATACAAACTCAAGTTACTTCTATAGTTTGTAATTTGATTGCCTATATTCTTAAACTTTCGGATGTTCCATCCGAACTAAGAAATGGAACATAACCCGCCGCAGAGCGCGGGATGATTACTAGTACTAATTATTAGCCAATCTCCACGTTGAGTATCTGGAATACAAATCCTCTTCGGCGTCGTCACTGAAAATGCCATCTTCGCGTTGGGAACCTTCGACAGGTGCAAATTTCAAGCTTAATTTTGATGTCGCCTGTTTGGAAGGAGAAGGAACATTCAGTGGAAGCCCAAAATGGCAGAGATCAAGTTTATATGGTTTGGGATTGAAATGGCAAAGAAATAGGGCTTATTGGAAGGAGAGATTGAGACAGACTGTCTTCGTGTAGTTCAACAGGTGGCAAAGGAAGAGACTGGAATAACAGAGGAAGGGGTGGCATGTGGCGAGTTAGCATAGCGTCGGAAAGAGTTGGACTCTTTTACTTTCAGGTTCTCCGACCGAACTAGCAACCAATAAGCCCATATTTTGGCCCACACTTTGTGTAATTGGGAGGATACAAAATTCTGGCAATCCAGCCTCCCTATCTTCATTGTTTTTCAGTTACAAACCGATTCCTGTACTATTTCACATTAATAGAAAAATACGGGTTATTTATCAAAATACTAATTATTAGTCAAATCTTTTCCATATTCTTTTTTATTAGCCAATAGGTTTAGCTAATAAAAAAATGCAAGAAAAAAAAATGTTTGACTAATAATTAGTGTTATCCAAACGGTCTCCTTTGCGCTTACTTCTTTCATTTTCCTTGAATTATTTGCGGATCTATTATTTGCAGACTTCTGAGATTTTGACTCCAAACTCCCCATTGGCAATACAACTCCTCAACTCTAATGTTGTTGCCGAACGGTGTCGATCACCCTTAAACGGTGTGTTGTTACAAGTTTTGTAGCAAAGAGAGCCCAGGACAAACACAATCGACGACGACTCTTATCGATCAAATATGAAGTTTATAAATGACTTGGATTGTGGACACTAGAAGTAGCATCTCCTCGTTTTGCTGCATTATCATCTTACTATGTGACCTGTGCAAAATGAAAATGTACAACCTCACCATGCCCACATAGACACCAGATTTGAGCCAACATGCTGAGACTTCACTGTAGCAGCTGATCAATTGTCCTCATGAACCAAGTACAGATTCAACGAAAAGAGACAACCCTTTTGTTATTTATAAGATTTCTAGAACGATACAACAGCACTAATAGAACCAACGACTTTTTTACTGATCCCATCTTCACAAACACAATAACCCCTCTTACATAAATCTCAAATATAGCATGTTTAACATGAAATGGCTGCCAACTATTGCTGGAACAAGTCTCAGGACAGAAGATGTCAAATTTTACCTCTCAAGTCTCATTATTGCTTAGTTATTGCATTGGCTGTGTACCACTTGTAAGTATCAACCAGCCCTTCCCTAAGCGAAACCTTCGGCTTCCAACCCATTCCCAGCAGCTTGGAGCTATCCATCAACTTCCTCGGAGTTCCATCTGGCTTCGAACTGTCCCAAACGAGTTCCCCTTCAAACCCAACAACTTCCTTTACCAACTCCGCGAGCTCCTTAATAGTCACTTCCTTCCCACTCCCAACATTCAAATGCTCTAAACCACTGTACTCCTCCATCATAAACACCACCGCGTCAGCCAAATCATCCACATGGAGAAACTCCCTCAAAGGGCTCCCCGTCCCCCACACCACCACTTCCTTGTCCCCATTCACCTTGGCCTCGTGAAACCTCCTCATCAGTGCCGGCAAGACGTGTGAATTCTCCGGGTGGAAGTTGTCGTTGGGACCGTACAAGTTCGTTGGCATCCCAGAGATTGCATCCCAGCTGTACTGAATCCGGTAACCCTGACACATCTTGATACCAGCGATCTTGGCCACTGCGTACCACTCATTCGTTGGCTCTAAAGGCCCCGTGAGCAGTGCATCTTCCGGGATAGGCTGAGGGGCCAGTTTTGGGTAGATGCAGGATGAACCCAGGAAGAGGAGCTTCTTGACTCCGTGCTTGTAAGCAGAGTCGATGACGTTGGTCTGGATTTGGAGGTTGATGGCTATGAAATCCGCAGGGTATGTGTTATTGGCGTGGATACCACCAACTTTGGCAGCTGCCAAGATTACAAAGTCTGGCTTTTCAGCAGCAAAGAATGATTCCACGTCAGCCTGACGAGTGAGATCGAGCTCAGAGTGGGTTCGGAGCACAAGGTTGGCGAAACCCAGAGACTGGAGCTTGCGAACAATGGCAGAGCCTACTAGCCCGCGGTGGCCAGCTACGAACACCTTGGCCGATTTGTCGGACAAGAAAGGAGAACTCTCTGTAAACACAAGACAGTAACTGCCATTCAAACACCACGACTTCGTTGTGGAAATCCACAGATCAATAAAAAGAACATCTACCCTTTAAAAAAGATAAATAATTTATTAGGTTCCAGTAACGAACTTAATACACCTAATGATCACTCACTCATACAAACCCTAATGCAAACGCAATCAAAGGTATTCAATCTGCTTGACTAAATTCAATAATGTCACAAACAATTAGACAGCATAGGAATTCTCAAGTTCGACGAAATGGCAAGTCACGAAAGCATTTACCTGATCCAGAATGCTGACAATCTGAGGATCCCATTTTATCTCAAGGAGCAAACCTGCGTGGAACAAGATCGCCAATTGGGTTTAGGGGAAAAAAGTTTATACCAGAGTGAACTCCAAGTAATGTAAACAAGCCCCCGCGAGAAGCAGTGTCCAAATCGAATTCACCTGTAATGGTGGGGCGACTACCGGGGGCAAAGTTGTAGGGACGCCGCCAGGTGCGAGTGCCAAATGAAGAGATGGGACTGGCAGTGCGGAAACTGACTAGTTTTGTATTGAAATCCAAACTGCCAGTCTCCGCGAGGAAGTAATGCACACCGTGGATCGGTGGAGTCTGCCGGCGAGTGACTGACTGACTCAGGCGGAGTCGATTGAGAAGGAAGGACGAGAGGTAGATGAGAAAACACACAGAAGGCCGTGTAGAGAAAGAGAGAACGGAAAGAATAATGAGATTCAGAGAGATATTTATATTCGTTGGTTTTCCAACCCATTTCTTCGATACCTAAACAAGTACCTCTTGCATTTTTAAACATTAATCAATGATATCTTGCATTTTTATCCTCTTGAATAATTACCAACAAGTACCCATAATCCCAATCATTACAAAGGGATGAGAGTAATTATCTTTCGGATGAAAGCAAGGTTCTCAACCCGCGGGTTGACCCGGACCCGTCGAACTAGTGGGTCAAGGGTTAATGAGTCAACCGTTTTAGCCTGGTTTGGCCCGAAAATATGGAAAAAGTCATTATATTGTACTTATCCTCATAAATTATATCAAATCTTATCTAACATATGAGTTATAACATATAATATTACACCAAAATAACATATCGTATATAGATCCAACATATAGTGAAAATTCACACACACTTATATAACATAAATATTCAAATGTTCAACTTAGCATTCCAAAAATTGAGCTAGGCGAAAAGAAAAATCGGAAAATAGGTGCATTTTGCAAACCAAAAAAAAATGACACAATTTGACCTCCAACCCGGTACCTTGTAGCGGTCGGCCCGGCGGGTGCGTGCGACCCGTTTTTCTCACCGGGTCAGGGTCAAACTGGGTCGACCCGCGGGTCAACCCGCGGGTAGACAACCTTGGTGAAATGTTCCATCTTTCTTGTGGATTGGGCTCTGTCTTTTTTAGTGTTGGGCAACGGGAAACAAGTATTTGGGTATACTAATACCCATGAACGATGGTGATGGTTCTTATTCTGATACTGTGGAGGCGACGAGCAGTGAATGCATCGTCTGGGCCAAGTGAAGATAATGGCATGGAATTGTCAGGGTTGGGACCGCCTCTAACAATTCAGTCTCTTACTATTTCAGTTCGTTCTTATGTTCCCTCTTTGTTATTATTGTATGAATGATAGAAACCAAATTCCGTTCAGTTTCTATAATTATTATTATATTAGAGTAATTAGTCTTTTAGTCGTATTAGGTCAATTGTTAGGGTTTTATGGTTCTTTCCTATATATGTACGTTGTTATTCGTCTATTCAATCAATAAGAAGAATATTAAGAAAACCCTTCCAAACCTCCCTATCCTCTCAGTTCTCGTTCTCAATCGCTCTAAAGGCCTAGGCCGATTCTGTTCTTCTTCTTTTCCAAATCATCAATCTCAATCCCTAATTTTATCCCCAAATCCCTAAATTTCCAACCAACCAGCACTATCGATAGAACCCTAGAAATAGGTTTCTATCATCTGGTATCAGAGCCCGGTTGCGAGGACGAGTTCATCGCAACTCACAATTGGGACTACTGTTCTAAAGCGTGTTACAGGCGGCAACACAAGAATATCATTGTGAGATTATTGTACTCAAAGGAGAAGGAATTATAATTCCTTATTTTGGCGCACCAATGGAAGGTTTGAAGTTGGGATCTATTTCCCTCAAGAAAATCTCTCGCAGGCGCTACTGCCATCCCCGCGGTAAGCTTTCGGGTCAGAGGACATTATTCCATTGACCAATGGCAATAAACTCTTTCGAGGCCCTTCCAGCTGCGATGAAGGCAGTTGAGGCCACCCTCACTCAAGCTATCTCTCACCAGTTCGCGGAACTCCGTGCGATGATTGCGGACCTTGCCGAGTCCACCATCGCCAAATACCACGCCCTTGAGCAGCGGGTTGAAGCGCTTGAATGACTTGCTGTGCCGGCTACCACGACTGTAGATATGCCTATTACTCCACCAGCACCGCCTCTGCTAGGGGACAAGGAGATGATGAAGGTTGTCGTCCTGGATGGCTCTAGCATTTCGAAAGCCATAGCGGCGATTCCGCAGCTTGGCAGGCTACCACTCAAAGTTGAATTTCGGTTGGTCAGCCGCCGTGGAAATTACATCAACTCAGATCCCGACAGGCAGCTCGACGACAACTTCGGCGATCAACAAGGCACCGACTTCTACACTACGCGTCAAAGGAAGTTGGCAAGCAAGGATTTCTCGTTCGATTGTGACACTGGGCCGGGCTGGGTTAGGCCAATTCGGAGTCCATATGAGCCGATCGGTTATGGTTCAAATCCCTCTATCGAATCTGCACAACCAAGGCTGACAAGACCAGTCCAGCGAGGTGAGCCAAACTCGAACCGACAATGGTTCGATCCAATGGACCAGCATGAGTTGGATCACGATTCAACAAGGCGAACCAAAGAGGCTAATTATCGTGTCTATTAGGGTCGCGCGATGGCATTGTTAAAGCCAGGACATGTGTATCGCGTGGAACAGAGCTGGAATGACTCATATGAAGATGAACGTGAGTATGATGATGATGGGTACTGGCCTCCGCCAAGACACTCCGACGATCGCCACACTCTGCCAATCAAGACAGTGGCACGACGATTCAGCCATGATGATGGGAGTGGTTTCACTGGCCACTCATGTTATAGAGACAAGTGCGGGCATGGCTATCATTATCCTTTGGGCTCCATATATCGATAGGATTAGTAGTATTATTTTATTTGGTCAACCTTGAGGGCAAGGTTGGTCTCAAGGGGGAGGGGATGATAGAAACCAACTTCCGTTCGGTTTCTATAATTATTATTATATTAGAGTAATTAGTCTTTTAGTCGTATTAGGTTAATTGTTAGGGTTTTATGGTTCTTTCCTATGTATATACGTTGTTATTCGTCTATTCAATCAATAAGGAGAATATTAAGAAAACCCTTCCAAACCCTAATCTCCCTATCCTCTTAGTTCTCGTTCTCAATCCCTCTAAAGGCATAGGACGATTCTGTTCTTCGTCTTTCCCAAATCCTCAATCTCAATCCCTAATTCTATCCCCAAATCCCTAAATTTCCAACCAACCAGCACTATCGATAGAACCCTAGAAATAGGTTTCTATCAATGAAACTCATTAAAGGCTCGCCATCTTCTTTTTGGCTGGGCGAACCACAGTACCTCTAATTCCGCTCGTCAGATCCGTGAGCTACAAACTGTTTCTTCCTCTATTCGCAATTCTTCACCGATGGACTGGGATGAATTATCTTGGCTTGAATGCTCTCATGCTTGGGTGGAGGAAGAAAGGTATTGGCGACAACGTTCTAGGGTTCGATGGCTTCGAGAGGGAGATCAAAACTCTGGGTATTATCACACTGTCACCCATACTAGGCGCCGGGGAATTCAGATTGCAGGTCTTGTTAATGGTCATGGCGAATGGATTTATGGTGAGATTGGTAAGTAGAGTCTTGTTGTTGATCATTTCTAAACTCTTTTCTCCCAAGGATTCGATTCGAGTGGCTACTGCAGTGCTTCGACTCTCTTTTCCTTGCATGGTAAGTCTGGAAATGATTGCTCGGTACTCGAGCTCTGGGATAATATGGCTTCGCATGTGCTTTCTGCAAATCCTTTTGGGATATAGTGGGTTTAAGTGTGATCCATGTGGTTGCTCATTTCTTTGAGTTGGGTCATCTTCTACATTATTTCAATCATACGTGGGTCTCCCAGATTCCTAAAGTGGAAACAGTGGAGAGGATGAATAAACTCCGTCCCATAAGCCTGTGCCAATTTCTCAACCAGGTGATTACGAAGATTCTTTCATCAAGATTAGGAAATGTCTTACCTCATTTGGTGGTTCTAAACAGAATAAGTTTGTGAGGGATAGGCAGATTGTGGATAACATCATTGTTGCCCATGAACCGATGTTTTATTTGAAGAATCGGAGGAGTGGTAGAGAGAAATTCATGGCTGTGAAATTGTATATGGAAAAAGCGTATGATTGTTTGGAGTGGTCTTATTTGTTTGCTCTGTTGGAACAGCTTGGTTTCTTGCCCATTTGGGTCAACTGGATCAAAGAATGTGTGACTACTGCGTTCTTCTCGATCATGGTTAATGAGACACCAACAAGGTACTTTCATTCATCTAGAGGTATCCGACAAGGTGATCCTCTGCCCCCTTTGCTCTTTACATTGGAAACAGAAGGATTTTAGGCTATGATTACTCAGGCATTGGTTGCACGACGAATTCATCCCATGCGGATGGGTCTTAAACTTCTGCCTAAAATTAAATTCTTCCTTTGGCAGCTTGCTCACCATGTTATTCCAACCTGTGATGGTTTGATTGTTAGAGGTCTGGATATTGAAGATGCTTGTCCAGTGTGTCGATTTGAACTTGAGTCGATTGAACATTTGTTTTTCCGTTGTCCTTGGGTGTTGCACATGTGGAATCTGGTTGGATTGGGGGTCCTTCCCTCATAAGGAAGAAGTTGCTTGACCAAATTCCTTTGACGCTTGATCCTTTCATCCGATTTTGTGGAGCAGGACTGTGTTATTTTGCAGGTTTCGTCTGTGCTCTGGCGCTTGTGGAAGAATCGCTAGGGTGTTCACTTTGAAAAGTGTCAGCTTCACCCACACACGTTGGTAGCACAATGGCGGCACCAAATGAAGGATGTTGATCAAACTATTCTCAATTAACCCCAACCTTTATCTACAGGCCCCGACTATTATTTTGGATCTCGTACTCACACTGTCAAGCCAGACTCAGTTATGACATGTTCGGCTAATAATTGTTTCTTTCATGGGGCGACTAGTGCGGGAATCGTGTTGCAGGATGTTGCAGATTCTATTGTATGGGCATATGCATTTTGCTATCCTTGTGTGGTCAACCCCATCACCGTGGAGGCACTAGCATGTGGTGCTGTATGGATTTGCTTTTGAGAAGGCTTTCACGACGTCACTTTTTGTGGGGATGCTAATGTTCTCCTTGATCGCTGCTTAGCCTGTTCATTTGAGGATGTTAGTTGTAGTGCTATTCTTCGGGAGATTTCCCGGCTTTTGACGGATTCTAATAGGTTTCGCCCCAAGTGGGGCTCATGTTGTAGCCTGTCGTGCCCTTATCTGTATCGTCCCAAGTGTTTCAGCGGTTTGATTTCGTTTCTTTATTGTGCTCTATGTAACTGGCATCTTGACATTCTCCTCTTTGTGAGTGATCTAATGACAAAAAAAAG